GGGGGGGGGGGGGCGGGAGAGCCGAGCGTGGAAACCCCCACCCCCCCCCCCCGATGCCGCAAGCACCGGGGATGCAGGGGACCCCCCAGGTTTGGCGCTGGGGTGCCCAGGGAGGGTGCTGGGGCAGGGTGCCCCTGCTCTGTGCCGCTCCGTGCCTGCACAGTGCCACTAGCCAGCAGGTCCCAAGGGCCACTCAGCGATGCCTTCCCCTCTGCTAGCCGTCTGTTCCCAAAAATCACCTTTTTTCCCCCCTGTCGAGGCAACTTTTTAAGGCACAAACACCCATTTTGCACCCCAGGAGGGACCCCAGGGGTGCCACCACTCTCCGTGCCCCACTCAACCCTGGGTGGGTGGGTGGGTGTGGGGGGGGGGAATTCTTTTCCACCCTCCCCTACAAGCATGGAGGGACGGGGATACGGCTCCGTGTCCCCCCCCAGCTATGGGATCCCTGACATGGGGGGGCTGAGAGCAGGTTTTGCCCCGGCAGGGAATCACTTCTCTGCTCCCAGCCGGGTCGGTAATAGTGTGGAGAAGAGGCCACCAGCTGGGGACATGAGAAGCAGAGGGACCCTCCTGGCCCGAGCCCCGGGGCGGGGAGACGGGTTTTCACTTTTTTCCTGCATTTTCCATGTGCCTTCACAGTTTTGGGCTGCTTGAAGCAGCCAGGGGGGTCAGAGACGAGGGTTTGCGGGGTGTAAATTTGGAGGGGGGCAGGTATTGGTGCTCCTCACATCCCCCCAGCAGCCAGGGACGCTCCCACCTCTGCTCCTCTGAGCCCTACCAAAGCATTAAGCTGCCATCACAGCCCTGCCATCATTCAGCTCCAGAGTTAACAACCTCTCCTGTGCAGCCAGCTTCCACCTGGAGCTGCCTGCAGGGCAGGGGCTCGCTGCCCCCAGCACCCCCAAGCCCAGGCACCCTGCCCACCCATAAGACCAGCCTCTGACCTTAAATACTCCCCCAAATCCAACCATAATGATTGTGGCCTGAATCCAGCGGGATATATATAGGTCCCACTTCCCTGGGAAGGGGATGTGGACCTGGGAAACCCCCGGCTGCTGCTGGGGAGAGGAAGGGCTGGGCTGAGTCAGCTGCCCTCGAGGAATCCTGTTTGTCAGCAAACGCGGCAGCGGGCTCAGCACCGACACCCGCAAAAGGCTCCTGGGGCCCCATCCTGCCCTTCCCGTCCCCCCTGGGCAAGCGATGTGGGGTGGGGGGG